CAGAGGAAATAAAGAGGAGCAAAAGGGGAGGGGAGTTTGCAGGAAGCAATGAGTTCAATTCATTTGGGTGAAGATCTGTTCCTGACTTCTAGCCAAGGAATTGCTGCTACAGCATGGAGTTTGGAAGATATCAGCCTGGCAGCTCTCCAAGCCAGAGAAAGGTCTGTAGCTGTGAAATCTCTGGAAAGACTTTGCTGGAGAGGAATTTCCTTTAACCTAAATAAAAGGGGTTTTATTGGGAGGAGTCGTCTGCTTGGCATTTTTGGGAAGCCTAGGTCAGAATGTGGATGAATCCCCCTCCCCTCCTCTTCCCCCAGAGATCCCTCAGCTGTTTTGGATCAACGATGTTTGGTGGCCAGAATCTCTATGGTTGGAAGTAGAGACCGAGGAGGGACGGTTGGCTTGGAGGCCAATTCCCTTCACGACACAGAAACGCCAGTGAAACCAGAAGTGTGGGAGGTTTGTTCTTCTGCTCCCACCCACCCCAGCTATTCTGGGACACCCCCACATTTCTCTCTGGCTGAAGCCCCCTCCAAGTGTTGGCTCTCTCACCTGTGTAGGGCGGGAGGCAGTTGCACTGGTAGCGAGCAACGTCGTCAATGCATGTTCCCTGGTTCAGACAAGGGTTGGAGGCACATTCGTTGATGTTGATCTGGCAGTTGGGTCCTGGGGGAAGGAAGGAAATCTGTAGGGTCCCACCTACATCTGGGGGCCCCCAAAGCCACCCACACATTCTTTCCCAACCTTGAAAATGTCCCAAAGGTGCTTTTTTCAGAAGGCAACTGGACTTCCTTGTTTTTCCTTCTGCAGATGTTTCGCTTCTCACCCAAGAAGCTTCTTCAGCTCTGAGAGGATGGTGGGGAATGGAGCCCCTCTCAGAGCTGAAGAAGCTTCTTGGATGAGAAGCGAAACATCTTCAGAAGGAAAAAGAAGAATGTCCAGTTGTTTCCTTAAAAAAGCACCTTTGGGACAACCATGACCTAGAGGACTGAGAATCTCCACAGGCATTTAGCTATGCAATTTGGGATGAAGACCCTCGGAAGGGTGTAGAAACGGATTTCCAGAGGAAACAAAAATTGCAGGCTACAGGAACCATTTGCACCACTCAGGTGACCCTGAGGACACAGAGAAAACCTCCAAGTGGCCTCAATGACCCTCTCAAAGGATGCAAACGACCAGCTTTGTCTGCAAGGAACATAAATCCTTCCATTCTCCACCATCCAGTCAGAGCTGAAGAAGCTTCTTGGGTGAGAAGCGAAACGTCTTCAAAGAAAAAACAAGAAAGCCCAGTTGCCTCCTGAAAAAACAGGAGGGACAACCATGACCTGGAGGACTGAGAAACTCTACAGACTTTTAGTCTAGACCGATGTTTCTCAACCTGTGGGTCAGGGCCCCTTTGGGGGTTGAACGACCCTTTCACAGGGGTCACCTAAGACCATTGGAAAACACATATGTTTTCAAAAAAAAATACGGAAAACATAAAATAAT